TTTTCTTAGTACCTCCATCCACGGTCTCCTCTGTGTATTGTCATTGTGTTTTATCTGGTGTGTTCTTCTTATTTATTGTTGTCGTCATCCTGTAGAGCGCTTTGAGAAGCCCCCTTTAAAGGCGCTTTATAAAATAGTTTATTATTATAATTGTTCTAGTGCTCTCCCTTCCTTCTCTTACTCTCTTTTCCTTCGCCCCCCCCTCCCCTTGTAGAACCTGATCTGGCGTTCATCCTAAATTTAGGGCGAGGGACAGCTGCTGCCTGTGCCGTTTTGGAGTAGCCGACATGCAGGGTCCAGAGCTGCCACTGTGGCGTATGTGGAGACAACCCTCTGTAGTTTCCCAGCGCAGGTGCAGGGCTCACTTCCAGACGGCCCCGCGGGGTGAATGAAGGACTGATCGGCGCTGGTTCCCGGCCTATAAAAAAATAGAGATTTAGGGGCGGGCCGAGTTGGCGTCCGTCTGCTCGGGCGTTCTCCGGGAGAGAGGAAAAAAAAAATCATTTTTCGTAAACGCCTCTGCCCTCCTCCTCTGCAGGGATGGGTCCCGGGCAGCTCTACAGCTACCCAGCTCGGCGCTGGAGGAAGAAGAGGAGGGCGCACCCACCTGAAGACCCCCGGCTCGCCTTCCCCCCGCTCAAATCAGGTATTCTCGCCCCCCCTCAGACTCGAGGCTTCAGAAATTCAGGGCCGGTGGGGCCCCTAGTATCTCGGCTGTACTGTAGGAGGTTGGGTTCTGTGGTCTAGTGTTGTGGCCCCATTCGCCCTGCCCGGTCCTTAATTATTGAATCGCTCGTCCAGAGTGATATAACTAACTCCCGGGCTGAGAAAGTTACTGCAGTGATAATGCCAGCAGCCATATCGCCCTGCAACTCACAACTGGCAACCCCACTGAAGCTCAGCAGGTGGGAGCCTGGTCAGTAAAACTCATTAAAAACCCCAGGGTGTTTCTCGAGAAGAGTAGGGGTGTTACCCCGGTGTCCTGGCCAAATTTCCCCCCCCCTGGCCTTTACCCATCATGGCCTCCTAATAACCCCCCTCTCTGAACTGGCTCCATCACTCTGCTCTCCTCCCCACTGAGAGCTGGGGTGTGGGGAGCGGACTGGCGCCTCATCCAGGTGGGGGTACACACTGCTGGGGGGTGGAGGGGGGATCCCCAGGACCTGGAAAGAGCTCTGAGTGGAGGGTCCAGAAAGGCGCTATAGAAGTGCAAGGAATGAATATGATTAAAGGGGCAGGATCTATCACCTCAGTCACACACAAACCGGAAAAGTGTTTCTCATGAGTCACCCAGGTGCAGTATAGAAATAGAACAGAAGATAAGACCATAGACAGTAACACAATAACAGTAACGCGTAATAACATAACATGTAATCAAAACTGTGCAAAATCCGCAAACAGAGAAATACAACAGGACAAAAACAGTGCAAGGTCCTTCAGGGAACAGGGCAAAAATAGTATGGTGATTAATAAATATGACAACTAATACAGTTTTACTGAGCTACCGAAGGGGCAGTACAATTTCGGCTTACATGTGTGTGTAGTGGTGTAGGAGTACAGTCCTTGTGGGTACAGGAAGACGTTAGGAGAGACCAGAGCATGATGGGATGGAGTGGGGGCGTCTCCAGCTTGACGGCTCTGGGGAAGAAGCTATTTTGGAGTCTAGCTGCGTGCGACTGGAGTGACCGGAACCTTCTGCCAGATGGTAGGGGAACAAACAAGCTATGAGCGGGGACAGACATAGTTCGGGTGGCTTTTTTCAGACTCCTGGCGTTGTAGATTTCCTGGATGGGTGGTAAGGCACTGCCGACGATGTGTAGGCGTAGGCAGCAGTATAATCGTCCGGGCCTTCAAGTTTTCAATAACTGTGAGGGTTTAACTGCCTTAAGTCCTCGCGATGTGCTTGATGAGATGGCAAAAACAGCGAAAGGCAGTAGTTTCTTGCACCGAGCCAAGCAAAGTGGGGTTTCAGACAGTCCTGCCTACCTCCGAGTCCAGACCAGATAGGAATCTGGTCCAGGAGCTTAGGAACTGAATACCCACCTGGGAGAGCGGTACAAAACCTAACATGTTAGGCGTTTATTCGGCGTTGAAAGGGAAAAGAAGAGAGAGCCTTCTTCAGATGGGGCGTATAACGTCTTCGGATGGCCCAGCATTCCAGCTCACACGTGGTTTAATGCGTGGAGACGCTCAGGAAAGTTCAAGCTGGTGCGACACTGATGCGCTACGTACCAATCTCGCGTGCTGTCATGGGAATGTACCTATCAGGGACGCCGCGAGAGAGAGTTCTCACCCGAGTAAGGCCTTTATTTCAATATCGCAAGATGGGGAGCCCCGCTGTCACTCTGCGGAGCGGGTCAGAGACCCCACTTGCTACAGGCTGCGCAGGCTTTTTATAATGTTTCTTTATCAGCCCTATACAGTTTCTTGCATTAGGAATTTGTCTTATCGCAGACCCCAGCTGGCTCTCCAGGAGACACACAGACAGGGAGAGAGAAGCTGGGGGTCAGAGCGCAGGGTCAGGCATTCGTCGGCGCCCCTGGAGCAGCTGGGGTGAAGGGCCTCGCTCAGGGGCCCCAACGGAGTAGGATTCCTCTGCCGGCCGCGGGATTTGAACCGGCAACCTCCCAGCCACCGGCGCAGGTCCTGAGCCACAGAGCTATCGCTCCAAGATGTAATGCAGTGTAAAATACAGCACTTAGTCCCTTTCTGATACTTCTCCTTTTCCTTAAGACAAGAAAGATTCCAGCATAGAAACGAATGAAGAAGAGAGAGTTTAGCACTTGCACTTGGCTAATTTGGTCATCTAGACAGTACGTCCTGTCTTGACAAACTTTTCTTCTAACAATCTGCACGTAGCACAGCAGTTACATCCTTGTTATATATTTCTCTAAAGCTCTTTACATTTTAAGGATTCGATTAGATCTCCATTTTTAGTACGAAGAGCTGTCATCCTGGTGTGAGCGGAACAGGCCCGATTGTCTGGCTCTGAGGAGAAACGCCGATTTTGAGGTCACGGGGTCAGATTTCAAGTTTATTGTCATTACTCTCATATACATGGTATATGGGTATAACGAAATGCTATTTAGGTAGCTCTCGGACATAAGTAGTACAAAGAGAAAAAACAACAACAACAATACAATTGCGTAGCAAAAGAAAGACAGAGACAACAGGCAGTGTGCAAAAAAACAACAACAGACGATGTGCAAAAAAACAACAACAGGCGATGTGCAAAAAAACAACAACAGGCAATGTGCAAAACAACAAAAAGGTAACAGGTTATGTGCAAAAATCTGCATCAACAGAATAAAATAAAGGGATAGAAATGATGGGGACTGAGCTTTTGACATGTATGGTAGAGGTAGATTTTCAATGTGTGTTTGGGTTTTTGGTAAG